CCACACACTAGATGAAGTCACTTGTGATCAAGATTCTACATATGAAAATACACCTATGACTGACTCTATTGAACCAAATCTACTTGTTCTCACACCTACATCTCCTATAGAATCAGATGTACCTGTTCTTGATAATACATCCCTTACACCTAGAAGAACAACCAGATCTTGTCATCCTCCAAGGTACTTAAAAGACTACACATATTCATTACCTAAGCTACAATCCTCCTCACCTATAAATAATACTACTGAATCTCAGCAATCACTCACATCATTCACAAATCACCCTGATCATATCTGTTTCTCCACACTTAGTTCTGAGAGTCAACAGTTGATTCATAATGTTTCACATGATATTGAACCTACATCTTATGAAGAGGCAATCCTGAATCCAGCCTGGCAAACAGCAATGAAACAAGAATTTGATGCATTGTATGCTAATAACACTTGGGAACTAGTTAAGATGCCAAAGGGAAAGAATGCCATTGGATGTAAATGGGTGTATAAGATCAAGCATAAAGCTGATGGGAGCATAGAAAGGTACAAGGCTAGATTAGTGGTGAAGGGATACACTCAACAAGCTGGGATAGACTACAATGAAACTTTCTCACCTGTGGTAAAAATGACTACAGTCAGAACACTCATTTCACTGGCAGTTAAGAAAGGTTGGAACTTGTATCAGTTGGATGTTAATAATGCCTTTCTACATGGTGATTTGAATGAAAAAGTGTATATGGCTTTACCCCCAGGACTAGTAGTGGACAGTAATGACATGGTTTGCAAATTAAAGAAGTATTTATATGGTTAAAACCAACCTAGTAGACAATGGTATGAAAAGCTGGCCACCAGCCTTTGTTCAAAAGTCTACATTCATTCAGAAAGTGATTACTCACTGTTTTACAAGAAAGATGGCAAATCTTTAGTGTTTGTGGTTGTATATGTTGATGACATCATCTTAACTGGCACTGATATAAAGGAGATTGAATCCTTGAAGTTCTTCTTGCATGACAAATTCAGAATAAAGGACTTAGGCAGATTACACTATTTTCTTGGATTAGAGATATTGTACAAACAGGATGGTGTTCTCATTTCACAAAGAAAGTTCACCCTTGATCTTTTGAAGGAATTTGATTCTATGCATTACAAGTCTACCACTTCACCTTTGGATCCTACTGAAAAACTGAGGCTCACAGAAGGTAAACTACTATCAGATCCTACTTACTACAGAAAACTAGTGGGAAAGCTTAATTTTCTTGCTAATACAAGAATGGATATAGCATACAGTGTCCAGCATCTTAGCCAATTCATGCAATCTCCTAGAGAGCCTCATCTAAAGGCAACTTATCATGTGCTCAGGTATCTACAACATGATCCTACTTTGGGAGTCTTTATCAATAATAAGCCTGATGTCACTGTTAGTGCTTATTGTGATTCAGATTGGGATTCTTGTCCTGATTCAAGGAAGTCTGTGAGTGGTTATTTGGTTCTCATGGGAGATAGCCCTATCAGCTGGAAATCTAAGAAGCAACCCACAGTGTCACTATCATCAACAGAAGCAGAATACAGAGCTATAAGACAAGTGGTAGGAGAAGTAGTGTGGCTGGAAAGGTTACTTGGTGAACTCTCAATGACAGTGTCCTTACCAATACATGTGTTTTGTGACAGCCAAGCAGCAGTACACATTGCTAGGAATCCAGTATTTCATGAACGAACCAAGCACATAGAAGTTGATTGTCATTTCGTCAAGACAAAGCTACAAGAAGGACTGATTACACTTCAATACATTCCAACAGATTCTCAGCTAGCTGATGTTTTTACTAAGGCTTTAACTGGGGTCAAACATACTACTTTGATGAGCAAGTTGTCTGTAAATAGATTACTTCCAACTTGAGGAGGGGTGATAAAACTTGCCTAGTTAGTTAATTAGCTTAAGTAGTTAGTTAGTTACTAATTAGCTAGTTGGTTATAGTTGGTTGTAGTTAGTTAAAGTTAGTTAGAAGTCACATTTTCCACACTTTGTTAGTTTGTTAATTCTGTTAGATTGTTGCTCATTGTTGTGTATATATACTTACACATTACATTGGTTAATGCAAGCAAAATAATTCTAAAGGAACTTCTTCTCCTTCCTCTTCTTCTTCTTCTTCTTCTTCGTTTGTCACTGTTAATGGCTCAACCTCCATCAATGGAGGAATGACATTTTCCCAGCCTATACGCTGGTTTTTGTCAAAGTACATATATTTTCATCCTATACACTTATGATTATACAATAGAAATACTCCCCTGCCCAGTTTCTTTTGTCTTTCTGTCTTTCTCGTTTTATACAATTTTCAAATTGTATCTAATTTCTCTCTTTTTCGTTTTATACAATTCGATTCAATTATATATTCCTTGTCAAGTCTCTTTTGTCTTTCTCTCTTTCTCATTTTATACAAATTCAAATTGTATATAATCGTTCTATACACTTATAATAATACAATTCGTTTTATACACTTCGTTTTTATACATTTTTTCTGCCTAAGTGTCTTTCTCTTTCTTGCTTTATACACTTCGTTTTATACAATTTGCTTCAATTGTATATGTATAGCAAATTATACAATTTCTATGTTTGTTATGGAGCGCAATTATGCAAACTTTGCTATAACATACAAATATGAATCTTTTATTTGCTATATGTGAAAATTGCCCTTTTTAAAATTGCCTAGTTGATGAGACACTCTTGTACCCCTAAATTTTTTATTTAACTAATTCAATATACTATGGTATTTTAGGGGATGGGAGAAAGAGGTATAAAAACTATAGTAGGTTGTACATAATACAAATAAATAAAGATCCAAGCTAGCTAGCTAGTGTCCTGACCATATATCTAATGTATATTGAAAAAATTAAATAATTATGTCATACAATAGAATTTAGAATAAAAATCCATCAAGTGTTTTAAATGCGGTATATGAGGCGAGACATTTTATATCATATGAAATGAGAAGTCTCGAGATACGAGCTTAAGTCTTATGGTTTTATGAAGCGTTGTCTCATGTATATTCAATTTCATAATTTTACTACCAAGATGATAAGCAAAAATAAGAGCATTAATTATTTTACAAATAATTTTTAATAGATAACCTATAATATACAGAAAAAATATTATGCATTTTATTTGAGAAAGGTATAAATGAAGAATAACGTAGAAAAAAAAGTATTACAACTACTATTTGAGAAATATCATTATATAATTATTAAAAAATATTTAAATTAAGCAAAAAATGTTTAAAACTATTTTTTTATAAAAAAAAACATCAAAAGCGTACGTTTTTACGCTCAGGGCTCACGCTCCAAATTCTAAGACTTACGCCCTATATATTTATGTCCTCAATTTTCACTTGAAATATTTTTGATACGCCCCATTCCAAGACTCGATCGGAAGTCACCCCAAAACATTTTTGAAAAACATAGTATCCACTCCTATATAAGAGTTCAAATTTTGCACACTGTCAATGTACAAAGAAGTTGTATGTGTATTCTTCTTCCATCATATACTACTTCATTTCCTATTTTAATTTGCTCTATCCTATGGCAATATGAAATAAAACGAAAGAAGTTAAAGATTAAGTATTTATGTCGTACAATATATTTATACGAGAATACATTCATTCTTATACTAGAAAAGTTTAAATTTTATGCACCATAAGTGTATAAAAAAGTTTATGTATATTCATCTTTCTCATATACTACTTTATTTCTCTATTTTAATTTGTTCTATCCTATGGCAAGTAATCATATGAAATATATCAAAAGAAGTTATGTATATTCAATTAAAAAAAGTTCATAAGTATAATAGAAACAAGTGCATTAGTTTTTTTAATCATATATAAGAATTTTAGACTTTACGGTAAAACGTGTGCATTATAATGATTTATAATACTAGCGTCCATACAAAAAAAAATAGTATTCTGACTGGCCACCATCAACGAATTAAATTACCATAATCTAATTCTTGTTCTACAAGCAAGCATTAATTTTGACCACTTCCATGTCCTATATTATACTTAACTACGAAACTTTTCGGATTTCATCTTATTTATTTCTCGATCACAATTTATATGATATCTTTTAAATCAAAAGTTAATTAATGAATTTTTAATTGCAACCCTTTCAAACATTTTTCAATTATATTTATAATATTGTTATGTAATTTTAAAATATATAAATATTATTTCAAGAAAACATAAAAGTTTCATCCCCAAATCCAAGATAAAAATATATAAAGCTTTCAATTTTTTCAACATATAAAAGTTTGTGCAAGCTCTTCCTCTACCAAATTGCTTTTTTACTTTTATCTGTATTTTTTCAAACTCATTAAAGATTGATCCTGTTATTTATAATCACGTCGGATACAAATAATATATACTCACTATTGAATGGTAAACAATGGCTAATTATAATCGAAACCATCATGTACTATAAGTCTCTAATTATCATAAGATGAGTTCATGATTTAAACTTTAATTTATAGGTCTAACCTTCAAGTATTGAAATCACTTAAGATTTAAACTTACAAATTAATTAATGCTATTTTAGTGATTGATACATACAAATATTCTCGAAAGTTAAAAATACTGAGTTCAGATAAACACTACAAAAAAATGTGAATTATACGTGGATTTTTCTAGGTATTAGTATGAAACTTTGCAGAAAACTTATTTTTCTGCAAATTTTAATACTAATTCCCAGGAAAATCTCCATGTAATTCACGGTTTCTTGTAGTGAAATACTTACCGAGATAATTTATTCTCATGTTCTACTCCTACTCCCTCTCTTTTTGAAGTCTAAAACACTCAGGTCAACTCCTCTGTTAAAGAATTATTATAGTATTATTAAAGGACAAACCAATGAAAGTAGTACCCTCTTTCTAGGAAATAAAGACTTTTGTTACAACAAGTGGAAAAATTTGGTGTATATATAAGCCTCAATTATTTTGCCAATAGAATGTTGAAACCATATTGAATTGTGTTTGAAAGTAGTACTATTAAGATGGAAGATATTATTATAATTAAGAAAGGGGCATGGTCTCCTGAAGAAGACCAAAAATTGAAAGATTATGTTATGAGATTTGGCATTTGGAATTGGAATCTCATGCCCAAATTTGCAGGTACAACTCACTATACTAATACAATTTATTTTATTTTATTTTAATGTTAAGTTAATATATTATCTTATGGATGGATGATGCATGGTTTAGGTCTTTCAAGAACAGGAAAGAGTTGTAGACTTCGATGGATGAATTATCTCCGCCCTGATGTTAAGAGAGGACCTTTTAGCATGGAAGAAAGAGAGAGAGTCATCAAAATGTATCAGCAACTTGGAAATAGGTGAGAGAATTTATATTAAAAACGATCTTTTTTTAAGTTTATTTAATAAATATATGTAAATCCAGATGGGCAGCTATCGCTGGAGAATTGCCTGGAAGAACAGATAACGAAGTTAAAAACTTCTTTCACACGCATCTAAAGAAGAATCTTGGACAGATAAATAATATTGATGCCCCTGTACAGTGTAGGAGGGTAAAAAAACAGAAGAAAAAGGCTCAAGAAAAGCCCAAATTATTTGTGGATATATCATCACCAACGATGGGTAGTTCTTCTTCAATATCGAGCATTATTACATTCGATCAAAATGAAAAGATTGACATGGAAAAGACGGTTATCTTGGAGAGCAATCCATCGTTATCATCGTCACATAGTAATATCGATGGCTTCGATCAATTTGTTGACACAACTTCGTTCTGGCTTCATCTACTTAACCATGCCAATCGTGAAGAATTATATTATGAAAACTCCTAATCCAAAGTAGAGATGGATAATTTAATTAATGAGATGAAATTATTTTACCTTATTATCAAAATGTCCAAAAGGAATTTTAATTATGTGAGATTCTTAATTCGGAAGATAATGCTACACTAAATTTAATTTTGATCTACCATAACGTCAATTCCATTCGGGTTTCAATGTGTGTATAGGTAACTTTTGACAACATTTTGCTACTATGTTTTGTACATAGCCAGGAGTTGATATATAATGAAGACAAGGACTCTAGTATGAAATCATCATGTATATATTATATAATCCATCTATTGAATTATTAAACATAATATGTGTTTTTAATGAAATGTGTTGATGGATTCACTATTCACTAGTTGGATAGTTTAGATCATCACTTCAATATTTCTTCCTTTTCCTTTCATTTATCTGAATTTAAAGAGCTTTTGGAAGTAAGAATTTTCATTACATTTTCTGTACTTTTCAATTTTTAAACTCTAATATACTGTTATGATTTTAAATATGTTTGTAATTTAAAATTTTTAATCCAAGGCCTTTATTTTAACCTTTCACATGGCGTATTTAAAATTACCAAATTAAATAACTTTTTTTTTGGTTTTCCACCAAATTAGCACTTCCACTCTCCATCACAAGCCTTGTTGTTGATTAAAGGACATTTTGATTACATTCTACATATCTTTAGTTTTAATCGAAAAACTAAAAGTCTTTTTTATCATCTTAAACTCCATCTTAAGTTAAAATCAGATAAATAAATTGAAATAGGAGTATCATAAGTTTCATATTTTTCTTTTTTTTATCTTGGAAGTTTCATAATGTCCCTTTTTACAAAGCATTGTTATGACAATGATGATATCAATACGATGATCTTTTAAGCAATTAATTAAGTACCACTTCCAAGTATGTTTGCTAGTAATTTTTTAACCAAAAGTATACTATATTCTAATTAAAGTAAAAGAAAAACTTTAAAGAATAGACATTTTCCCCTATGAAAGAGACGACGAGCAACACAGAAATATAATTATGGGTGTGTTTGGTACAAATAAAATGTATTCGTACTCTAGGGGAAAAATAGAAACTTTCAAAAACAACAAATATTAGGCAGCAATATTTTAGTTTGCTGTTTGAATTTGTGCACTTCTTTTTGCGGATTTTTTTTAAAAAAATACAAAATATAAACTAATCTGTATTAAAGTGAATACATAATAGGAAGAGAGAGGCGAATGAGATTGAGAGAGCGAAAAGGGAGAATTGTATTTCGTCTCCTCTTTAATGGGATATAATTGATACATAATATTGTTGACATATAAGACGAATGCATATTATATTCGTATAAACACAAATACAATTGTGCAAAATTATACCTATAATTTTTCGAATACAATTGATATAACATATAAAACTCTCATATATGTTTGATTAAGATACAATTAAAAAATATATTTGAATAAATTTCCTCTTATTGTCAGAGAGAGAGAGAGAGAGTGAGGGTGGGGGGGGGGGAGGCAAGGAAGAGACGCAGAGAGTTTGCTATAAAAATAAAATATAATGTCTTTTGTAATCTTTTGAAATTATAGTTATTTTTCATAAATGTGTTTGCATTTTTGTCATGTTCTATGATTTTCTCAAAAAAAATTATGTATCTTACTTTTTATTTTAATGTTTAGTATGTGAGCTAAAAGTAATTGTAAATAATTCGATAAATATTACTAAATATAAGCTAAAAACACCTTATAGTGTTTGTCTAAATTGTAAATAAATAAAAAAAAATTGTAAATAAATAATTTCAGAATAACTATATTCCCTACTCAGTACTTATAATGTACCACAACATAAGAAATAGAGTAATTGTGACTTGTCCCCATAATGTATGTATTTCTTTGTGACTTACACTATCCAATTATTTTTAATAATTTGCATCGTAATCTCCTAAGTTCTTCACGAAATCATAAAAAAAATCTCCCTTTTCAATTATTTACAAGGAGTAAAATAGAATATTACATTTTAAAAAAATATACAAAAAGTGATTTAAATTAAAAATACAAACAATAGTAAACACTAGTCATTTGCTGCTTCTTTTCCATTAAAATGAAAGAAACAATCATTCATTCGTGAACAAAATCGAATTGTAAAGTACAAATTGAGTCAAATCAGAAGAAAAAAATCAACAATGATTTAGTGTTGAAAAAAATGCAATTATACTTTGAGTTAATTTGATTTTAACTGGATAAAGTCAATAAGTAACAAAACTAATCTAACATTATCTATATAATTATTAAAAATTGTTTTATACATAATTTTTTTTTGTTCTAATACAATTTACAAATTTTATCTTTAACTTTTTCATAAGTTTTATGTTTTATAACAATTTGTTAAATTTTCTATTTTATCCTTGTAAATAATTGAAAATATGAGATTTTTTTTTTTATAATTTTGTAAAGAACTAAGAAAATTAGGGCGTAAATCATTGAACTTAATAGGATAAGGTGTAAATCACAAAAGAGCATATACATTAGGGGTGCAAATAGCACCCTAAAGTCGTTTAGTTATTGGGTTAGAACTATGTTGATTATTAATTATACATAAATTAAACATATCATATTAGTCATGTAGAAACTAGACTATTATGTTAATATTTAATTGTAATTTTAACTATATTCTAGGTGTAAGTTGCAACCTTAAATATTTATGTGGATAAACATTTGGAGGGCTTACATCATATAAAACATACATAAGCCACTTGTGGTCACGACTCTCACCGTCCAACTTTTTTCCTTATTAAATCATTCTTTTAACTTTGTGTTTTTCTATTTTACAAGACCTTTCCTTTAATTTTATTTTAATTTGAGGTGGCTAAGTATTTTTGCATCATTATATTCCTTCCACGTTTGACTCTTTCTAATTAATGATGGAGTATAAATGAGTATTATTTTAAGAAACATATACCCCATTTTCTTGTTAGAAGAGAATCTATCAAAGGTTTGCTTTTGTTTATATTCAATCTAAAAATTGAAAGAAAATTTTGTACGTAAACTTGTAATTTATCGAAGATAGCTATAATCGTTCAGGTTGTATATCCTCGAACTTAGAAATAGAAAGCATGCCAAATTTTATGTCTTGTCTGAGTAAACGATTGGTCAATGAAATACTCCCTCATTCCTTATTTAGTTGTTCACTTTAGAAATGACGTATATATTAAGATAACAATAATTAATATAATGAAGTTACAATTTTATCCTTATTAATTATGTTTTAAAAATAATGAATTATAATTTGGAAATTTTCAAGAAGTTTAAATGAGGGTATAATAGAATTTTTTTTATTCTTTCTTGATTTGGCAAAATGAATAAATAAATAAAAACAGTTAAATAAGGAAATATGGACAAGTAAATAATCATCGAGGGAGTATAAATTGCCTAGTTGTAGGGACAAACGTGGGACAATGTGTTGTACTCTAAATTTGATTTAACTAATTCAATATACTATATAGAGGATGGGAGAAACAGGTATAAAAATATAATAAGGTTATAAATAATACAGATAAATAAATAATTAAATATCCAAGCTAAGCTAGTGTACATCTAAAACCTGACCATACATCTAATGTTATATTGAACAAATTTGAATAATTAAATAATTGTGCCATACAGTATAAGACGACAATATATCCACGCATATAATGTATATAAACAAATTTGATAAATTAAATAATTGTCATACTATATAATATGAGAATATATCCACTCACATATGAGAAAAAATAGGAATATATACGTTGTTTCTATTTTGCTAGTAATATAATGTTTTCTTTATTTCCGCGTAGAGCTGTGGAACAATAAAATATTACTATTTTTTCACTTATTTCTATAAATATTTTAATTGAATAAGAGAAAAAGAAATAACAATGTCATATAAAAAATAAACTTTTTTTTCACTATCTCAGTGAAAATTAAACTTCTGTTATGTATTTTTCAATGAGTTGATTGATAAAAAATAAGTAGAAAAATCATGATCTATAACAGAATGTTTCCAATAATTCACACTGAGATTTTTTTAGGTATACCTTCATTTCCTATTTTAATTTGCACTATCCTATGGCAAGTAATTATATGGATTAGATAAAAAGAAGTTATGTATATACAATTTAAAAAAAGCTTATATATAATATAAGCAAGTGGATTACTTTCTTTTTAGATGATAAGAATTTTTTATAAAACGTGCATATGTGCATCATAATAAGGTACTGGCGTCCATGCAAAAAATAATATTCTGACCAGCCAGCATCAACAAATTATAAATATAATTTATTATGTGTACGTATTTATAAATATCTTTTCTATAATTTTTAAATATATAAATATTATTTCAAATAATATAAAATTTTCATTTCCCAAATTTATGATCAAAATAAAAAAAAATAAAAGATGTAAATATTTCAATTTTTCAATGTATAAAAAACAGTTGTCTAAGCATTATCTGTAATTTTTTTCAAACACATTAAAATTTGATCATGTTATTAGTTTAATCACGTCGATACAAAAAAAAAAAAACGAAAATATACACTCAATATTGAATGGTAAACAAAACGGCTAATCGAAATCTATCATGTGCCATGGATAGATATGAATTCTTGATTTAAACTTAATTTTATAGGTCTAATTAAAGGTGTACATGACTGGGTTGATTCGGGTTTTTCAAGTATCAAATTAAATTAATTGTGTCAAATTTTTAAATTTATAAATCAAATCAAACTAAACCAATAAAATTCGAGTTTTTCAACTTCGTGTTTTTTCGGGATTTTCGTATTTTCGGATTTTTCCGATAAAGTATTCATATCAACATGTAATTTACTTGTACTTCAAACATTTCTTTAGTCCTACCATAATGCAACTATTTAAGTTGTTTTTTAAGAAAATAACACAAAATATGAAGTGATTAATGACACAAAAATATCCAATAAAAAAGTAATAATGAAATCGCGTAAAACAAATATTGTAAATTAATATCATAATGAAATTGATCATAATTTGAAATTACTAAATCATGCTAAAATAAGTT